CGATTTCCCCTTTGCTTTTTCCACAAAACGAATTCCAGCTTGCCTTCCGGAGACCTGCCGCCGAAGTCTGATTAGGGTTGTTGCAGTTAAGAGCACGTTCTATGTAACTTTGAAAATCCAAAGACGCTGAGAACAGCTGGAACATATTGTTGAAATTTAGCGTAACAGACCATAATAAACCAAAATTTTCCTGTTACGAATACTCGGATTTAAATTTCATTTTATGGTTCTATTGATAAGGCTAATCACGAAATTACATACATTTTCTACAGTTCAGATATTTCCTGCAAAAAGGGGCATAAATGTGTCAAAAAAGGTTTTTCGCATCTTTAAAGGAGGAAGTTGCTGCAAGATACGCGGAAGAATTAAAGTTGCGTGTATCTGCGGGAAACACAAGATTTATTCGTTTCGCCCTGTCATAAGTTTTAGGCGGGGGTTTATTGCTTTCTTTTGTGGAAGATCCATAAAGTTTGCGGCAAACTCGATAAGTAACCGAGTGATATAAAAAGCAGATCTTCACAGTATGATCTAGCTAATCGCCGAGAATGAAATTATTTCTCCATTTTATGGCGCTAATCGGCGTCTCTAGCGCCTGCATGAAAACGATACCTGGAGATGTGAGTTCGATTTTCTTGTTAACCTCCCTATTACTTGTTAAAATCAAAATACTCTGGTTGATATTGCTTGACAGGATGAATATAGAACAAAAATGCAAAACTCAATCTTCTCAAACTAAGGGTGTTAGTCCAACTTACCGCCATTTGTTTATCGTTGTTACCCGAAGGCTTCAAAACTAGCCATGTTTGGTTAGGTGTAGAAAAAATTTAATAAGCTTAGTTTATTTATGGCAACAATACTATGATCAGTGACTTAATTTTTGAGTGTGCCATATTTAAAAGTTAGATGTGTTTAACGAATCTACCTTATTCTTCAGCGAGATATTTTGACTCTGTAGGTAACATTGACCAAAACATTCCTTACTTTTGTATAAAGTACCACATTTATCCTTAACTTTAGTGTCACCTAATCATAATTTATTATTTATTGATTAATAAAAATGTACATACTGCATAATACTGCATAATGCGTATACTTTGGGATTTGAAATGTAAACTGGTTAACTTCTAAATTATGAGTAGGTGACGCCAAACTACAAGAAATGACTCCATTTTCTAAATTCTTTGCCATGAATGAAATCTACCCAGCCTTTCTTTTCATAATCAACTGTCTACTAACTTAAAGATCACGAATTTGCGCAGCAGCCATGATAGATTTCCGAC